CCCCAGAACCCAGAGTTGCGAAAAGGTCTCAAGCGGAAATGGCCGCACAACCTTGGGGCAGAGCTTCTCTGGGATCAGAGTTGCGAGGACATCTCAGCCGACAGTGGGAAGGAGGAAGGCGAAGGGAAAGAGTAATGGGAGGAGTCCCGCGGACCCGAGGACAGGCACGCACGAACGCTTCGGATCGGAAGTCAAGGCATGGAGGCTGGAACTGACGCGGATGCAAGACGCTGGGAGCTGGCCTCCGACAGCGTTGAAAGACAGGAGGACCTGAGAGGGACTCAACGACGGGCGCCGCCAGAGCGTGTGGGAAAAATCTGGAGGCCTTGTGAATGTGTCGGAGTGCTGCGTGTCAGATTGCTACGCTGCAAGGCGTATCCGAGGTTGACGTTGCCAGGGTGTCTCTTTCACATATATATATAGAGGGAGAGAGAGAGAGAGAGAGAAAACAACAAAAGAAACGCCCTAATTTGGTGTTTTCTCCATTCTCTGCCCACGCACTAAAAATAAACGAAATCGCCAAACTCGGGCGGGCCGCCCTGGAAATCACCCGCTGAAACAAATAGTAAAGGACAGGGTGAGAAAAAGAGAGAGAGAGAGAGAATGAAAACAAACAAAGAAGAAAGAAAGAGAGAACAAACGATACATGGAAAGAAACAAAACAGAAAGAGAGAGCGAGGGGAGGAGGGAGGATAAGGAAGAGGAGGGAGGATACAGAGGAGGGAGGAGAGTGGCTCAATCATGAACCTTGACCCAAAAGCCCAGGGGCCCCCAATTGCGGCAGGGTTGAGGACCCACTCGGGTGCCCTGGGGCCGAGGAGGAGGGCGCGGAACAGGGAGGAGGGAGGAGAGGGATGGAGTGAGAAAGAGGAGAAGAAAAAGACCGAACCTCACTCCAGGCCCCTCCCCCTCCTCCTCCTCCTTCCTCCTAGAACCCCAAGCGTATAATCCCACCAGCCCTCTGGACGTCGGTGGTTTAGAGCGTTTCCTCTTCAACCCCTCCTTCTTCCCCTTCGGGGAGGGGTTTACCCCTCTCCCTACCCCTCCCCTCCCCTGCCGTCGTCCGTCGTCCGTCGTCGTCGTTGACGTCGTCGTCGTCCGTCGCCGTCGTCGTCGTCGTCGTCGTCGTGGTCCATCGTCCGTCATCGTCGTCGCCATCGCCCATCTACGTCGTCGTCGTCCGTTGTCGTCGTCGTCGTCGTCGTCATCCATCGTCCGTCGTCCGTCGTCGTCCGTCGTCCGTCGGTCGCCGTCGTCCATCGTCCAACGTCGTCATCGTCGTCCGTCGTGCGTCGTCCGCCGTCGACGTCGTCGTCGTCGTGGTCTGTCGTTCGTCGTCCGTCTTCGTCGTCGTCGTCGTCCGTCATCCGTCGTCCCTCTTCCGTCGTCAAACGTTCGTCGTTCGTCTTTCGTCGACCGTCATCCGTCGTCCGTCTTCCGTCGTCCGTCGTCCATCGTCTGTCGTCGTCGTCCGTCGTCGACGTCGTCGTCCGTCGTCGTCCGTCGTCCAACGTCGTCATCGTCGTCCGTCGCCGTCGTCGTCGTCCGTCGTCCGTCGTCCACCGTCGACGTCGTCATCGTCGTCGTCGGCCGCCGTCGTCGTCCGTGGTCCGTGGTCCGTGGTCCGTGGTCCGTGGTCGTCGTCGTCGTCGTCGTCGTCGTCGTCGTCGTCGTCGTCGTCGTCAATCGTCCGTCGTCGTCCTCCGTCGTCGTCGTCGTCGTCGTGGTCCATCGTCAGTCGTCGTCGTCGTCGTCGTCATCGTCCATCGTCGTCGTCGCCGTCGTCGTCGTCCGTCGTCCGTCGTCATCAACGTCACCGTCGTCGTCCGTCCTCGTCGTCGTCGAACGTTATCGTCGCCGTCCGTCCTCGTCCTCGCCCGCCGTCGTTGTCGTGGTCCGTCTTCGTCGTCGTCGTCCGTCGTCCGTCGTCACTCGTCTCTTCTGTCGTCTTTCGTCTTTCGTCGACCGTCATCCGTCGTCCGTCTTCCGTCGTCCGTCGTCCGTCGTCTGTCGTCGTCGTCCGTCGTCGTCGTCGTCGTCGTCGTCGTCGTCGTCCGTCGTCCAACGTCGTCGTCGTCCGTCGTCGTCGTCGCCCGTCGTCCGTCGTCCGCCGTCGACGTCGTCATCGTCGTCGTCGGCCGCCGTCGTCGTCCGTCATCAGTCGTCCGTCGTCCGTCGTCGTCGTCGTCGTCGTCCGTAGTCGTCGTCGTCGTCGTCGTCCGTCGTCGTCCTCGTGGTCCATTGTCCGTCGTCGTCGTCGTCGTCATCTTCTATCGTCGTCGACGCCGTCCGTTGTCGTTGTCGTCGTCGTCGTCCGTCGTCCGTCGTCGTTCGTCGTCAGTCGGTCGCCGTCCGTCGTCGTCGTCGTCGTCAAACGTCAGCGTCGCCGTCCATCCTCGTCGTCGTCCGACGCCATCGTCGTGGTCTGTCGTTCGTCGTCCATCTTCGTCGTCGTCCGTCGTCCGTCGTCCGCCGGTCGTCTTCGGTCTTTCGTCGACCGTCATCCGTCGTCCGTCGTCCGCCGTCCGTCGTCCGTCGTCGTCGTCCGTCGTCCGTCGCCCATCGTCTGTCGTCCGCCGTCGACGTCGTCATTGTCGTCGTCGTCCGTCGTCGTCGTCGTCCGTCGTCCGTCGTCCGTCGTCCGCCGTCGACGTCGTCACCGCCGTCGTCGGCCGCCGTCGTCGTACGTCGTCCGTCGTCCGTCGTCGTCCGTCGTCGTCGTCGTCGTCCGTCGTCGTCGTCGTCGTCCGTCGTCGTGGTTCATCGTCCGTCGTCCGTCGTCGTCATCGTCCATCGTCGTCGTCGTCGTCCGTCGTCCGTCGTCGTCGTCGTCGTCGTCGCCGCCGTCGACGTCGAACGTCATCTTCGCCGTCCATCCTCGTCGTCGTCCGTCGTCGTCGTCGTGGTCAAAAACTCGTCGTCCGTCTTCGTCGTCGTGGTCCGACGTCAATCGTCCCTCGTCCGTCGTTCGTCTTTCGTCTTTCGTCGACCGTCATCCGTCGTTCGTCGCCAGTCGTCGTCGTCCAACGTCATCGTCGTCCGTCGCCGTCGTCGTCCGTCGTCCATCGTCCGTCGTCCGTCGTCGACGTCGTCATCGTCGTCGTCGGCCGCCGTCGTCGTCGTCGTCCGTCGACCGTCGTCCGTCGTCATCGTCGTGGTCGTCGTCGTCGTTGTCGTCTTCCGTCGTCCGTCGTCGTCGTCGTCGTTCGTCGTCGTCGTCGTGGTCCATCGTCCGTCGTCGTCGTCGTCGTCGTCGGCATAGTCTATTGTCGTCGTCGTCGTCCGTCGTCGTCGTCGTCGTCGTCGTCGTCGTCCGTCGTCTGTCGTCCGTCGTCGTCCGTCGTCCGCCGGTCGCCGTCGCCGTCGTCGTCGTCCGTCATCGTCGCCGTCCGACGTTCGTCGCCCGTCTGCGTCGTCGTCGTCCGTCGTCCGTCGTCAACCGTTCGTCTTTCGTCTTTCGTCGACCGTCATCCGTGGTCCGTCATCCGTCGTCCATCGTCTGTCGTCGTCGTCCGTCGTCGTCGTCGTCGTCGTCGTCGTCGTCCGCCGTCCAACGTCATCGTCGTCGTCCGTCGTCGTCGTCGTCCGTCGTCCGTCGTCCGCCGTCGACGTCGTCGTCGTCGTCCGTCGTCCGTCGTCCGTCGTCCGTCGTCCGTCGTCGTCGTCGTCGTCGTCGTCCGTCGTCGTCCGTCGTCGTCGTCGTCCGTCGTCGTCGTCGTGGTCCATCGTCCGTCGTCGTCGTCGTCTTCGTCGTCATCGTCTATCGTCGTCGTCGTCGTCGCCGCCCGTTGTCGTCGTCGTCGTCAGCCGTCCGTCGTCGTCCGTCGTCCGTCGGTCGCCGTCGTCGTCGTCCGTCATCGTCGCCGACCGACGTTCGTCGCCCGTCTGCGTCGTCGTCGTCCGTCGTCCGTCTTCCGTCATCAATCGTTCGTCTTTCGTCTTTCGTCGACCGTCATCCGTCGTCCGTCTTCCGTCGTCCATCGTCTCTGTTGTAGTCGTCTGTCGTCGTCGTCGTCGTCGTCCGTCGTCCAACGTCGTCGTCGTCGTCGTCCGTCGTCGTCGTCGTCCGTGGTCCGTCGTCCGTCGTCCGCCGTCGACGTCGTCATCGTCGTCGTCGGCCGCCGTCGTCGTCCGTCGTCCGTCGTCCGTCGTCCGTCGTCCGTGTCGTCGTCGTCGTCGTCCGTCGTCCGTCGTCGTCGTCGTCGTCCGTCGTCGTCGTCGTCGTCCGTCGTCCGTCGTCGTTGTCGTCGTCGTCATCGTCTATCGTCGTCGTCTATCGTCGTCGTCCGTTGTCGTCGTCGTCGTCCGTCGTCCGTCGTCCGTCGTCCGTCGTCGTCCGTCGTCCGTCGGTCGCCGTCGTCGTCGTCGTCATCGTCGTCCGTCATCGTCGCCGTCCGACGTTCGTCGCCCGTCTGCGTCGTCGTCGTCCGTCGTCCGTCGTCAATCGTTCGTCTCTTTCGTCTTCCGTCGACTGTCATCCGTCGTCCGTCGTCCGTCTTCCGTCGTCCAACGTCGTCGTCGTCGTCCGTCGTCGTCGTCGTCGTCCGTCGTCCAACCAACTTCGTCGTCGTCGTCGTCCGTCGTCGTCGTCCGTCGTCCGTCGTCCGTCGTCCGTCGTCCGCCGTCGGCGTCGTCATCGTCGTCGTCGGCGTCCGTCGTCCGCCATCGTCGTCCGTCGTCCGTCGGCAGTCGTCCATCGTCCGTCGTCCGTCGTCCGTCGTCGTCGTCGTCGTCGTCGTCGTCGTCGTCGTCGTCGTCCGTCGTCGTTGTCGTCGTCGTCGCCGTCCGTCGTCGTGGTCCATCGTCCGTCGTCGTCGTCGTCGTCGTCGTCGTCATCGTCCATCGTCGTCCGTCGTCCGTCGTCCGTCGGCCGTCGGCGTTGTCGTCGTCGTCGTCGTCGTCGTCGTCGTTTCCTCCCTGCCGCTCCCCCACCGCCGTCCTCGCGCGGCGCGGGCACCGTCCCCCTCCCCCCCGCCCGCGACACGCGGAGGGCCCCGCGCCTCTCTGCCGCGGTGCTCCCCCTCGTCGCCCGAGCACTCCGTCTCGGCCTGGGGGGCGCTTTTGAGGCATAAGACCGCCTGCCCAACAGCGGCCCTTGTCGGTTCTGGACAGCATATGCTGTTGGGCATCGTGGCCGTTGTTTCCGTACCCACTTCAGGCGTCCAAGAAATAGATCCGAAGCTCCCACTATATTTGGAGCGGCCGTCGCCGCGTTCACCTCCAAGGGCGCTTAGCGGGCCCCAGGACAGCCAAACAACAACTCAGGATGAAAAGCCGGCCGCGGGGAAGTTTTCCAGACCTCCGGGGGTCCACGCATAAAAAAATGGAGCGCCAGACGTTTGGGGAGGGGGGGAAGAGGGGAGGATATCGACCCGTATATACCAGCAGACACGCTAACGGCGATATAGGTTTCGGTACTGTAGATGGGGGTGGCTCGTGGCCAACCCAATCGTGGGGAAGCGCTGCTCGTGTTTTCCTGAAGTGTCTTATGCGCGAGCTCGGCGTCGCAAAGACCAGACTCCCAACATCGCCGTTCACCAACTGCGCCGCCAGTGTGGCCTCGGCCTACCCTCGAATCTTTCGAGTGGGGGATCGACTACAGAATGCATTGACCCCAAACTTGAATTTCTCGTCGAACCCAGGAGAGAGAGAGAGAGAGAGACAGAGAGAGACATGTTTTAAATTCATATCTATATATATATGTACACTACAACCATCGCGCGCGCTTAGGTTCTAACTGGTCGAATGCTGACCTCATTGAGACAGCATGGCGGTCATGAATAATGAAGTCAACATTCTCTGTTTCCTCCTGCCTCTTCCTCATTCCGCCTCCGCTCTCATCGACCAGTCGACAGGTGATCTGTCGCCAAGCTTCTTGGGGACCTCTTGACCCCTCCTGGGGAACTCCTGGGGCGAAGATCTTGGGTTCTCGGTTCACGTTCCCGATAGTGGCCTTCGGCCCATCCCGCCACCGTGCCTGGGTTGTGGGTTAGAGGCCTCTTGGAAGCTCGTTTGGAATTCGTGAGAGGCTTCCTGGGGGCCTCTTGAAGGCACTTTTGGAGGCCTCTTTGGGGCCGTTTGGGGTGCTTGTGGGGCGTCTTTTTGAGTCGCTTTGGGGCCTCGTGGGGGCCTCTAGGGGGCCTCTTGGGCTCTGTTGGGGGCCTCTTGGAGCCTCCTGGAGGCCTCTGGGCGGAAATCTCGAATTCTCGGTTCCCGTTCCCCCTCTTGGGTCCCTCTTGGGGCCGTCTTGCGGCCCTCTCGGGCGATCTTGGGCGCCTCTTGGGCCGTCTGCGGGCGCTCTTGGGCGGTCTTGAGACTCTCTTGCGCCGTCGTGGCGCCATCTTTGGGTGCCTGTTGGACCGTTTTGGGCTGATTTCTGGGGCCTCGTGGGCTGTCTTGGACCGTCGGAAAAGCACGAAACGTAGAGAACACGAACAACCTTCAAAAACCATAGAACAATCTACTTATTTCGCCTCCTGAGTGCCTCGTGGGAGTCCTTTTGAGAGCATTTTGGCCGTCTTGAAGCCCTCTTCGGCTGTCTCCAAGCCATGTTGGACCAATTTTGAAACGCTCTTGTGCGGTCTTGGGCTCTCTTGGAGCGCTCTTGGGCCATCTTGGCGCCTTCTTGGACGTCTCTGGGCCCCCTTTGACGTTTCCCGGCGCCACCCGCCGGGCGTGGCAAACTGAGCATCGTTTAACCGACTCCTATCCCCACTGGCGTGGCCCGGGTCCTCCTGCTGGTCGATTCAAGTGAGCCGAATCACCAGGAACGGTCCCTGACTACCGAATCGCATACTGTCAGTGCGTGGAGCGTGGCAGCGGAGCACTTGGGGCAATCAATGAAACTCGTGTCAAGGATCCCGCACGTGCAAATCTGCAGAACAACAGCCGTACTTTTCCCCTGCGGCTAGGATCGACCCTCGCGGCACTCTGCACCACAAAGCATTGCTCCTCCGAGCCCGCGGGGCGCGCGCCGACAACGCGCTCCCCGACCGTCGGCTCGAGGAGCAGCAGGAGGAGGCAAACTGAGAATCGTTGAACCGATCCCGATCCCCACTGGCGTGGCCTGGGCCCTGCTGAGCGATTTACCCCTCAGATGCCGATGCAGGTCAACATTCTCAATTTCCTCCTGACTCTTCCTCATTCCTCCTCCTCCGCTCTCATCGACCGGTCGACCGGTGATATGTCGCCAACCTATGGGCCAGGAACAATGCAACGCTACAGCACCATGCTGCACTATGCTATGGAATGCCATGATACACCGAGCTACGCTAGATAGCGCGATGCCACTATGCAGTATGCAATGCAATAATATGAAATACTATTCAGTGTGGATTGCATGCCATGCCTTGCTGTACTGTGAAATGCGATGGTAATATATGGGATGATACGCTGAACCATATCATGCTATGTTTCCTATGAAGAGTGATGCTACCGCGTTACATGGTATGCACAGACACGGCATACCGTGCTGAGCAATGCAAGTAAGAGCAACAATGGGGGTGTGATATTTGCGTGGTCTCTGTTTACTGTTGCGCAGAGCAGTACGGTGCTGTCCGAATATTAATGTATGCGTATTGGAATGCCATAGTACGCCACGATGTGTCATGAGATGCAATGCCATGCTAGGCAATGTTACGTCGTGACGTGCAGTGCTAGGCTCAGCTAGACAATGCTATGTAATGCAATGCTATGGCATGCTGAATCATATTGTGATATGCACTGACACGGTTAGCTCTGTCGTGCTGTGCCGCGCCATGTCATGTCATGCAACGCTGCGATGCCACGATAGGCTAGGCGGTCCTTTGCCATGCACCGGGTGTGTTTGGGAGGTCTCTTGGGGGCCGTTTGGGGTGCTCTTGGGGCCTCTTTTAGGGCTTCTTTGTGGCCTCGTGGAGCATCTAGGGGGCCTCTGGGGGGGCCTCTTGGGCTCTGTTGGGGGCCTCTTGGGGCCTCCTGGAGGCCACTTGGGGCGGAAGGCTCGAATTGTTGGTTCGTTTTCCCCTCTTGGGCCCTTCTTGGGGCCGTTTTGGGACCCTCTTGGCCGATCTTGGGCGCCTCGTGGATCTTGGGCGCGTCGTGGTCCTCTTGGGGCGTTGGGCTGGCAATTCCAAGTGGATTGCTCCATCTTGGCTCCTCTAGGAGCCCTCTGGGAGGCCGTTGGGGTGGCCGTTGGGGTCGTCTTGGGTGCCTCTGGGACAGGCCTGGGACCCTCGTGGGCCGTCTTGGCTGGGGGGCCTCGTGGGCCGTGTGGGGGCGATCTTAGGGGCCCCTGAGGTCGTCAAGGATGGTGCGATGACGGAAAACACGAATACGGTAAACATGTACGTTTTACGAAGGCTGGGGCTATTTTTGCCGCTCGAAGCCCTCGTGGGGGGCAATGATTGCACGGGTTAAGAAGCGTCTTCGAAGCCTCTGGGGCCGTTGGAAACGTCCCGTGATCCGTCGAAGCCGTCTTCAGGGTGGTGGGCGGCTGGCTGGGGCCGCCGTGACGTGACGCTCATCGGACCGCCCTCCGAGGCGATTTTGGGCACCCCAAGGTCTGGCCGGGCCCCCAGCACCCACATTTGCGGTCGAATTTCCAGCCCTCGGCCCCCGAGCCCGGTGCGCCTAGGTGGTGGTCGAGCGAACAAGACCTCGCTGACACCTGCGCCCGCGAGCCAACCTCGTCAGGCGGCGGCATTCCTTGGCCATCCGGGCCGCGATCAAGCATCGCAAAGGAGCGCGAAGGGTTTTCACGCCTCGCGCGCTTTCCTACATCTAGCAATTAAGCTCACCAGGTCTCTGGTGTGGCACTGTGGCATTCGGGCGACAAGATTTAAGCACAAAAACCCTTGGACCGCCAAGCGTTCGACAGTGGCGAGATTCTAATACAGCTGGCTGGTCCAATGGGTCCACTCGATCCTAGCGATGGATGGTGTACAGCATGTGTGGGCCCGTCTATGTTGTGCAAGATGCGGTACAATAGATGCTATGCAATATACGGTGTGCAATGACTGCGGTGCATCTAAGTGAGAAGCCGGCGTTGTACAATATATGTGGTGTGACCGACGGCGTCCAAAACATGTTGTACGCTCTTCGATGCGCAATCGATGTTGTGAAATCTACGTGGTTCAATTTACGGATGTGATACAACCTATGCGATGGTGCTGTCGATGTGGAGCAACCTCCGTGGTGCGATTTATGTGGTGCAACCTATGTGGCGCAATCTGAACATGTCCGCAATGACTTGGCAACACCATTGCTCGCGCAATCAACCCACCCACCCATCCCATCCGCATCTTGTTTTGAAAAACCCGTGCGGCGGCGGTTGCGATGACTGCTTGGAGCTGGCTGGCGCATCGCTGCGGCCGCGCTAGCGCGCGCAAGCTCGCGCACAGGTTCGCGCGCAAAGCGGCCAGGCAGTCTGGCGCGCGAGCGACTCGGCCACAGTGGCCTGACCACTGGGGGCTTCCCAGCGCGTCTCGCAGGCTGCGCTGACGCGCGGGCCGTTCAGTACGAGTCGGTGGCCCGGGCGGGCGCGGTATCATGGCGACGTCGACAACGGCTGACACGATGATGATAGTAACGATGCGGGGCGGCAAGGCGACCCCGATGCTGATCGGGCCGAGGACTACGATGGCGTCCACATGAAGATGGTGAAGGTTTTGGAAAGATTCCGACATGCGCACGCGGCCGACGGGCGCGAGTGGCCCGCATGGCTTTATTTGACAGGGACCATGCCACCCTCAGCACGCGCGCAAGGGCGTTCGAATGATTTGGACAAGCGCGGTCGCAGCTGGCGAACATGTTCACAAAACCGATCATGTTCTTAAGAACTCGCGGAGCGCAGACGCTAACTGTTTTGGAAACCAGATTGCAAAACCATGTGGTCTTTATACGTTTCCGGGACACTCAATTTGAAATCCGTACGAGCCACGAGTTTTCGATGCATTCCAGCATGCGCGCGCGACGACGTGCGCGCACGCACTTGTCCAATCTAATGCTGGAGGTTTTCACGAACCGGTGATGTTTCATAGACGAATGCGTGCGCATAGCATTAGTTGGCGAATATGGAGGGGGAGGAGCCCGGCTTGGCTGAGATTGTACGACCTATGTTTTATGGGGCAGATTCATGTGCAAACTGAACATCCCAAGGGTGGATCGATAACCCCAGCATCAGGGGGATGGAGCCTCATTCCTACGATATGCATTGTCATGGAACGTGGGAGAGGATCCAACTATGCTGTGCAATACACAAGGTGCAATCGATGGTGCGCCATAAATGGCGTACAGTGTACGATGTGCAGTATTCATGTATGTATATGTATATGTAAACGTATATGTTATATATATATATATATGCACAAGACTGCATAGGCGCTTCGCGCCCTGCACCTTGGTCCTTGAAATTTGGTATGCAAGCGGAAGTCGCGGCGGAGAGGCAGGAAGGCAAAGCTGAACAAACGAAAAATAGCTCCGCGTTGCCCTTTGTCTGGCGGTGTCGTGGTGTGGATGTAGTTCGCTATCCTTCTCTCGTGTGCCCTCTTCTTCTTCCTCGTTCTCGCCCTCCCCTAAGAGCCGAAGAATGCCACGATAATGGAAAATCAATGGAAACCCATTTGAAAAAAAAATGCTTTTGGTCTTATCGCCTTCTCGCTTACGATCGGCTCTTGAGGCGTCAAGATAGCCCCAGGACGGCTCCAAATGAACACTAGAATGTGCAATATATGTGGTGCGATGCATGTGGTTGCAACCGATGATGCACAACATTTGTGGTGCAATATATGTGGAGCAACCTCTGTGGTCCAATTTATGTGGTGCAATGTGTGTGGTGCAACCTAGATGGTGAAATCCACGCGTTGCAATATATGCGTTGCAATGAACGTGGTGCAATCTATGTTGTGCAAGAAAAATGTCGGGGCGGCGACGGCGACAACATAGCCGCCAGACCGACAAACAGGCTCAGGTACGGGCGGCGACAAGGCGGCGACGGCCACAACATCCGCCACCGTGCCGCCCGGCACGGAGTGGGCGTGTCGTCGGGTCCTGGAACCAATCCTCCAAGCCTCGATCCTCACTCCTGAGGGGTCTTGTATGGGCCCGGACCCTAAATTGCCAAATCTGCCGGGGCTTGGCGCGTGCACCCTGGGAGTCCCAGTATCTTCTCGCATGACCTTCTCGGGTCCACGAGGGCCCTAAGATGGGGCCAGAGGGCCCAGAGAGACTCCTGAGACGGCCCAGGAGGGACCCGAGCTGCCGAACGACCGGTCCAAGACGCACAAGATGGCCCCAAGACGTCCAGGGAAGCCTCCCCGATGCCTCCCCGGAGGGCATCAAATGGCAAACATCATGTGAGCGTTTTCTCATTCGGCGCTTCGACTTTGGGCGAAAGGAGGGTCGGAGGGGGCGGTGTCTTGCTCCGGACCTCTGCTTAATGGGACTGTTTGCAGCAGTGCGTCCCGTGGGAGAGGCTCCACCTGCTCGAAACAGGTCCCAAAAACAACCAAGATCCACTCCATGGAGGCGGTGCGAGGGCCCGCGCCGATGCGCAAAACAACGAGTAAGAAAACGACCACCATTGATTTTAACATAAGTGTTTACAGGACTTCGGCGTGCTCGCCTGTTCGGCGCCCCGACGCTCCACGGCGGCCCACGGGGCCCCCCACAAGATCGCCCCGAGACGGCCCCCAGAGGCCGGAGGCCTCCAGGAGGAGGGCCCCAAGACCGGCCCAAGAGAGACGCCCAAGACAGCCCAGGAGGGCCCGAAGACGGCCCCTAAGAGAGGGCCCCAATGGGGACCCCCAGCGAACACTTCGAGCCCTCGGCCCCGAGGGGACCCCAGGAGGCCCCAAGAGGCCATCACGAGGCCCCCCAAGAGGCCTCGCGGGGCCCCCAAGAAGCTTCAAGGGGCCTCCAAGCGGCCCCCAAGAGAACCCCTAAGAGGCCCCCACACTGCTCCCAAGAGGCCTTCGCTTCCAGACCGACAGACAGGCCCAGGTACGGGCGGCGTCGAGGCGGCGATGGGGCGGCAACGGCCATGACGTGGCCGCCAGAGCGACACACAGGCCCAGAACCCGAAACTGCAAGCGATGTTTGGAGAGAGTATATCGTGCACGTGCTGATGTAAATTACACTTCCGTGGGGAGTTCTTCAGAGCAGCGTCTAGCAGCAATGCCACCGCAGCCGGCCTGCGACAGGGACGGGATGTCCAGGCACGGCTTGTCGTCCTGGATCTGCTCTAACCCCGCGAGAAGAAGACTGCTGGGACGCCTCACCTGGGCAGGTCAGGGACAGGAATGCAGGCGAAGAACGCCCTCCTGCGCCTCGTCCTTCTCCTTCATCGGTCGAGGAGGAATAATATCGATGTGAAGGATCGGAATTGTTGGCCGCGTGTGCCCCCTTTTTCTGAGCCTCGGGAAAGATCTAAAACGCCTCCTTCCTCTTCCCCTACCTCCCTCTCGCTACTCGTCGTGCGCTCCTTTCCTTCTCCGGAGAGGAGGCGATAAAGAAGGAATTTACTTGACAAGGCCGGAACATGGAACGGTTGCCCACAAACTGCCAACCATCGTATGCGATGTCCGGTGAGCAAACATCGGACGAGAAAACTGCAGACGCAAAGTACGAGCAGGGAACGCAGTAGCTACGCACAAAGTACAAGGCAAGGGCTCAGGAGATCAAAGAGCAGCGCAAACGAAAAATGCGCACGTCCAACACTGAGGCGACTGCCGACAGTGAGCGGCACTGCCAGTTCACCGCCAGGAGCCCAACGATAGTCTTTGCGAGGCCGAATTAGACATGTAGAAACACGTGGGAATGCGACTTAGCAAGCGGCAGGCATGGCTGCAACGTGTCTGGACACTAGGAGGAGGAGGAGGAGGAGGAGGAGGCGCAGGGGGGATGTGGAGGGATGATGAGGGAGAGGGATGAGCGCGTTTGTTCATTCGCGGCGATGAGGGGCGTTATGGGGGCGGGAGGGGGGGGCACAACGTAACGCTCCCCCCTCGCCGTCTGATTCCAGCACCACCGCAGCGTCCGCGCGCACGAAGACGACGACGACGAAGACGAGCGACGAGAATGAGTACGACGAGGAGGAGGAGGACGACGACGACGACGGCGACGGCGCCGACGAAGAGCGATGCCCAGAGGTCTCTCAGAGGTTTCCAGAAATCTCTGGAGCCCTCTGGAGGTCTCCTGCAAAGGCCCCTGGAGGCCTCCAGAAACCCTCCGAAGTCCTCCGAAGACTTCCAGAGGCCCTCGAATGGCTTCGAAGGCGTTCGACAACGACAAGCGACGCTGAGCGACGACGACGACGACGACGACAACGAGCGACGAGCGGCGAGGCCGACGACGACGACGACGAGCGACCACAACGACGACGGCGACGACGACGAGCGACGCCCGGAGGCCTCTAGAGATCTCCAGAGCCCTCTGGGACAAAAGCCCTCTAGAGGTCCTCCGACGGCCTCCGGATTCCCTCGAAGACCTTCGAAGGCGTTCAACAACGACGAGCGACGGCGATCGACAACGAGCGACGAACACGACAACGAGGACGAAGACGAGGACGAGGACGAGGACGATGAAGACGACGGCGACGACGACGAAGACGACGACGGACGACGACAACGACGACAACGACGACGACGAAAAACGACGAGGGTGACGAAGGCGAAGAGGAGATCTGGCGAGCACATGCCTACGAAGGCATCGCTGCCTGCACCTGACGTATAAGCCGTATGTTCCTTACCTTCCTCCTTTTTCCTCGTCTTCGTCGACGTCCGTCTCCTCTCTTGCTCCGTCTCCTGCGAGCATCACAAATGCCTGAGAGTATCGCTGCTTGCCCGCGACCAACGAGTGGCGAGGGAAGCGAGACCGCAGCAGTCATGCAGAAGCCTGCGGGCACCGCGCGCATGCACAACAGGATGCTGGCCCCTGCCGTGCCCGTGGGAGGCGCGACATGCGAGTGCCACAGGAGCCTGCGAGAACCACAATACCCTGCGAGCGCCGGGCATGAGCTAGCATCGGAGCATCCGAAGCATGCCTGCGAGCACTGCGCCACAGCAGCGCGCGAGCAGCCTGCGAGCGCCACAATAGTCTACGAAGAAACGAGCTGCGACCGCACCTTGCTGCGAGACTGTGGTGCACGAGCGCGGGGGGGGAGCATTACGAAAAGGAGGCGGGGCGCGATATGGCCCAGAGGGTTAGAAAACAGGCTCGACTAATGAGGAGGATGACTGGTGGGTTTCACAGCCTTGAGGGTGGCTGATCCTTGAACGAGTTGGAAAGTCCACCCACCAAAAAGACAAATCGAGCTCGCAACAACGAAGTACGACATGATCCTGACATTGAAAAAGCGCGGATCTCATGAAACACCAGGCGACTAAGGGAGGGAGGAGGAGTAGGAGGGAAGGAGAGATGAAGGCGAGGGGAGAGGGACGAGCTAGGTACGCTCGCGCCAGATCTTGGAGTACCATGTGGGACCTGCTCTGGGACAGGAACATACCTTAGACGGATCGACGGATCTACCCTTTATCCGACCTTGCACCACGCCGAACGCAACGGCCACGTTGCGTTCATAGACGTAGCCACCCCGAAAAAAATCGACTGAGGTCACGGCACCGAATGTGTCCATAGACGCTTTTGGCTAGGACGTGAGGACGGTATTTGGCATCGGCCCCAGATGATGGCCTTCTAGAAGGCAAGTAGGCTTGGCCCACCAAAAGCCAGCTGCGCTCACGTCATATCTGACATCCTACCCCTCTCGCCCATCATTTCCTGTTGCGCTGTGTTTTCTCTACCCGCCGACGCGTACCAGAGCAGACCCGGAACTCCGAAGAGGAATCAAGGGAGAAGGATGAGGAAGGAGGAGGACGAGGACGAACATCGGCAGCAGGAGCAGGAATGGAAGGAGCAGCGGGAGGAGCAGGCGGACCAAAGGAAGGCGGAGGAGGGGAAATGAGGGGGGCGACACTGATGAAGAAAGACTCGGATCCAGACAAGTAGCCCGCGTTGTCTCGAGAGCGACATGCTGCACGACAAGAACACCGCGCCGATCCTATAATGAGGCCCACGCTGCAGCAGGAACATCATTTTGGAAACGCCGACAAGCAATATTATTGTAAGCAACCACCGGGAGTAAACACCACTTGTGTCCAATCCTTCGTAAAAAACACATACGCGGAGGGGGTCGTCCCACCCCCTGGTCATTTTCAGAGGAGAGAGGAGAGTAGTATTCATATTGAGTAATTCTAAATCTGGACGCCCGAAGTGGGTGCGGAATAGATGGGCACGGTGTCCAGCAACAAAATTTCTCCAAAGCCGACAGCAGCCGCGGTTGGGCAGGCGCTACGCCGATAGCAAATCCCGCCAAGAACGAACAAGAACTGCTGCTGGACTTTGTACCGATGCCGGTCCCCACGAATAGAGGGAAACAAGCAATGTGAACAGTATCATCAAGAACAAATTCGCGGTCCGCGTGGATTCCTCGGATCGGCGCTGGAGCCCGCTGGCGGCGCCTCCGGCGCCGCCCCTGGCGCGCTACGAACGTCAGGCAGGGGGCATGGCGCGGATCCGAGAAATCTGCGCGGACCGTAAAGTTCGTATGTTTATGTCGCTGTTCGCTCCCTGATCAGTGGAGGAGGAGGGGGAGCTTTTCACAGTGGAGGATGTGGAGGGGGAGGAGGAGGATGAGGAGGAGGATGAGGAGAACAAGGAGGTGGCGAATGAGCAGGAGGACTAACTGAGGAGGAGGAGGAGGAGGAGGAGGAACACGAGGAAAGATGAGGTCGAGGACGCACAGCAGCAGCACGGTCGCTGCGCGCGCCGCCGCCGACGACTCAGACCATGCGACGCACAAACTTGAGCAGGGACCGACAGTCCAGGCATTCCCATAGGCCTACCACGAATTGTCTTTACAATCCCCAACATGTTTCAATAACAACAGCAAGCTCGATGAGTTAAACCAGGCAGTCTCAGCCAATCATGTTCGGAGAACATCTCGTGCAGACCACAAAAGATGATTGGAACATTCTGTCGTGGGCCTAGGGGCAAGCCAGGACGCTTAGCCACTGCACGACCAACTGCTTCAATGCGTGGTCCCTGGAACTCGGCATGGGGGAAGCGGGTCCCGAGGGAAACTGGGCCTGGATTTAGGTCGGGCATGTCTCCCTACAGGCGGATCGTGGGCGAAAAATTGAAAATCGTCAAACAATGACCAGCACTAGCCAAAACATACTCTGAATATCGTTCCCAGGCTATGGTTTGACGATTCTTCAACAATCCTCTTGCAGACGGACATACCCGATTTGGCCCTGGACTCTGGCGCCTTCCCCCAGGTGATCGTTTTTGAATTCGGCGTTTCGACATTGAGCGAAAGGGGCGGGGGGTCTGGCTCCAGACCTCTGCTTCGTGCAACTGTTTGCAACAGTGCGTCTCATGGGGGAGGGACTCGACTCCAGATTTCGTAATAAAAGGGAGGGGGTCTGGACCCTCCAAGACAAGCCATTTCAGACCTCCCCCGTGGGAGAACCCTCCAAAACATCGTCCCCAGACCCCCCAGGCCCTCCAAGATAGCCTGGAGGAGACCCCCCCCGAAATGAGACCCCCCTCCCTTTATTACGAAATCAGGAGTACCTGCTTGAAACAGGCGCCAAAAACAGCCAAGAGCCACTCCATGGGGGGGGGAGGAGGAGGAGGAGGAGGAGGAGGAGGATGAGGGGGAGGAGGAGGAGGGGGAGGAGGGAGGAGGAGAGGAGGGGGCGGAGGGAGGAGGGGGAAGAGGGAGAGGGGAGGAGGAAGGAGGGAGGGAGGAGGGAGAGGAGGGGGAGGGGGAGGGCAGGGCGAGTGCCCGCGCCGATCGGCGGGGGCCCAGAGCGGCGCAGAACCTCGGGGGGCCGCTTCCCTCGGGACCCGCTGCCCCCGTGGCGCTCTCCGTCGCCGCCGTCCTCGGCGTCGCCGTCGGCGTCCTCGGCGTCCTCGGCGTCGTCGTCGGCGTCCTCGGCGTCCTCGGCGTCGTCGTCGGCGTCGGCGGCGTCGTCGGCGTCTGTGTTGTCGGCGTCGTCGTCGGCGGCGTCGTCCTCGGCCTCGGCGTCGGCGCCATCGTTGCCATCGTCGGCCCCGACGAGGCCCCGCGGCGGCGGCGGCCTCTCTCTCAGGACCCGCACTTCCCCCGTGGCGATCCCTGGAAGTCCCGGCCCTTTCCCTTTCCCCAGGGCGTCGAACGTCCGTCGATTCGAATCGATCTCGAGTCGAACCTGAGGCGAAGCCGACTCACATTCGAATCGATCTCGAGTCGAACCTGAGGCGAAGCCGAATCACATTTGAATATATATCCTGGGTCGAACGGGGGTAGAAGCTGGAGACGAGCAGAGCCACGAGGTGGGCCCCAGGGAGGTCCCCAAGACAAGCCTCTGGCCTCCGCTCGCCCCGAGTCGTCCTCTGGCCGCCAAAGGAGGCCCCGGCGGGGGGACCCCCTCTCGGAGGCCGAGCGCGGCCCAGGGAGAGCCCGCCCGCCCTGCCTGTGGCCACGGCGCGAGCATCTCTGGAAGCGGCGCGGGAAGCTGCAGCCGAGCCGAGCCGCCCATCGTCGTCGGCGTCCGCGGCGTCGTCGTCGTCGTCGGCAGTCGGCAGCGGCGGCGGCGGCAGCGGCGGCGGCGGCGGCGGCAGCGTCGTCGTCGTCGAACCGAGCAAAACCGAGTCGCCCACAGTCGCCGTCGTCGTCGTCGTCGGCGTCGTCATCGTCGCCGCCGTCGGCATCGTCGACGTCGGCGTCGTCGTCGGCGTCGTCGGCGTCGGCGGCGTCGTCGTCGGCGGCGTCGGCGTCGTCAAGCCGAGCCGAACCGAGTCGCCCACAGTCGCAGTCGTCGTCGTCGTCGGCGGCGTCGGCGTCGGCGTCGGCGTCGGCGTCGACGTCGGCATCGCAAACGTCGTCGTCGCCGCCGTCAGCGTCGGCGTCGTCGTCGGCGGTGTCGTCGTGATCTGCGTCGTCGTCGTCGTCGGCGTCGTGGTCACCGTCGGCGTCGTCGTCGGCGGCGTTGGCGGGGGCGTCGTCGGCGGCGGGGGCCTCTGAGTCCGCGGGGAGCAACCCGGGCAGCAGGGTCCGCAGGCAGCGCGCCCGGGCCTCGGGGGCCGCCTCGGCGCGGCCGCGGCGGGAAGCTCTGAGATCTGGACGTTCGAGGGGCGCTCGTGGAGGGGCCATCGATCGTCCAGTGATCGCTGAGCCGAGCCGAGCCGAGTCGCCGACGGTCGTCGTCGTCGTCGTCGTCGTCGGCGGCGGCGGCGGAGCCTCGACATCACGGCGTTCGAGGGGCGTTTGCCGTCGGGGCAATTGACCGCCCACTGACCGCCGATGGGGGCCAATTAGCAGCCTCGCCAGGGGCAACGAAGTTTCGAGGTTCGAGGTTCGAAGGCAGAGGAAGTTTCGAGGTTCGAGGTTCGAGATTCTCAGACGTTTCCGTAGGTTCTCGGCGATTTCCCAACCTCGGAATGCTTTCCTGCAGTTGCACTTCGCCAAGAGCGTTCTGGGGGTGCTCTGATCGCCCAGAACGACCGCCGGAGGCCCGAATTACGGCCCGAAAAAACAGAGGCAACGATATGAGTGATGGGCTCAGGGGGGACGCATCGACCCCCAGTCGCCCATGGATCGCCGACGGGGGCCCGTCGGCACAACCCGCCCAGGAATGCGCGGTTTCGCTGTCGGGGGCATACCGCCGATTCGGGCGGGCGGGCGGGCGCGGGCGCCACGCGGGGGGGGGGAGGGTGGAGGGCCGGGAGGCGACCCGAGCGGGGGGTAGAGGAGGAGGCGGGGGAGGGTAGCAGGGGAAGGGGGCGGAGGCGGAAGAGGAGGAGGAGAGGAGGAGGAGGAGGAGGGCGTTGTATCGCCGGTTC